ACACCGCTGTCGCATTTTTTTATTTTTTATCCTCGCTCGCTACGTGAGCATTTAAGGATTTTTTTTAGGTTCATTTTTTATTAAAAAAAAATATGTTAGAAATAAGCACAGATTTTCCCTCTATGCACTACGTGAACATTCGGGGGTACTTATATAAAAATAAAGACAACATTTTTTTATATCCCATTCGCCGCAAGTGCCGCACCGGTTTCCCTCCCTACAATGCTACTTGAGCGCTAGGGTTTGCCAGCTCGTTGCTAGCATTGAAGAGGGATTCTTAAATCGTCGCAAGTACCGCGCCGGTTTCCCTCCCTACAACGCTACGTGAGCATGTAGGGGGTTTGCCGGCCCGTTGCAAGCCACAAGAAAGGAATCAATTTTTTTAGATTAATTATAATTAAAATAATTAATTATTATTAATGATAATTAATTAGCATTAAGTATAATTAAAATTAACCAACCTATATAAATTAATTAATTATAATTAAAAATTAATTAATTATGATTAAAATAATTAGTTATGATTAGCGATATTTAATTATAGTTAATTATTATTAATAATAATTAACTATGATTAATATAAACTAATTATAAAAATTATAACTAATCTATAACTAAATTATAATCATTTTATTAATTAATTATAATTAAAAATAATTAATAATATAATAATAATATAATAATATAACTAATAATATAATTATAAAAAATGAAAACCTACAACTAAGGGGGTGATCGGGCAAGACAGTCGGAGAAGAGGATTTGGCGTCGGGCTAGGGGAGAAGAAGGCTCGGGTAAGGGTAATCTCTCCTCTCTCTCTCTCTCTCTCTCTCTCTCTCTCTCTCTCTCGGCTTGGGGTCGGCACAGGGAAATGGAGGAGGAGGTAAAGGCGTCGGGTGTAGTGGAGACTGGGCTCGGTCGGAGAAACAGGATGAGAGGTCGGAGGCTTCAGTTTGGTCTAGGGAAGGCTTGGAGGTTGGAGGAGGTGGATGCGGGAGTTCGGCCGAGGTGAGCCCGACGCGATGAGGAAGGATTGGTCGTGGAGGCTGCTTGCGAGAGGGAGAGTTGAGCGTGGGAAGCGAATGGAAGAGCCGAAGCTTTGTGTGAGCAACGGGTATTTAACGACATCGAAGAGTGACGATTGAGGCCGGCTTCAAGTAGAGATCGTGGGATGCGACTCAAACGACGTCGAACAAGTACATAATCACTGTAGCAAGCGGCGGGAGTAATCTCTTGTTAAGCCCTTTTTTTGTCATATAACCGAGGTCAACAGTAGTTTAGTGAGGTCTTTCAACCACGCCAAGGCTTACCACCTCCATGAGAGCAGGAGCATGCCATCACCCTAAAGGAGGGGATTTTCCTGATCAGTGTCAGACCATATTGTTACATTCAAATTCAGAAGGACGAGATTGAGAAGCTGATCCGAGTGTGAGTTCTTTTTCTAGTCCAGTTTTGCTGGTCAAAAAGAAGAATGAGAGCTGGAGATTCTATATTGACTATCGGGCCCTGAATAAAGAGACCATGCACAGCAAGTTTCCCATACCAGTGATCAATGAAGTATTGGATGAGTTGTGGGGAGTAGTAGTGTTCACCAAGATGGATGTGAAGTCGGGATACCATCAAATCAGGATGAGAGAGAAAGATGCCTTGCAGACTGCATTTAGGATATATGAAGGGCATTATGAGTTCTTAGTGATGTCATTCGATCTCACAAAGGCCCATGCTACGTTCCAATCATTGATGAATCGAATATTCCGACCATACCTTCGAAAGTTTGTACTGATTTTCTTTTACGACATCTTAGTGTACAACATATTCAAGGAGCACTTGGAGCATTTGAGTGTTGTCTTGGGAGTTTTATAGGATCAGCAACTACAGGCTAATTTGAAGAAGTCTTGCTTCGCACAAGCCATGGTGGAGTACTTGGGGCACGTGGTATCCCAGGAGGGAGTGACTATTGATTAAGTCAAGATTGAGGTCATACAGAAATAGCCTCTATCTTCGAATCTGAGAGAGTTGAGGGGCTTTCTAGGGTTGACTGGATATTACAGAATATTCGTTAGGGGATACAACACCATGGCCTTGCCATTGACAGAACAGTTAAAGAAGGATAGCTTCCTGTGAGGAGAGGCAGCTATCTAGGCCTTTGAGCAATTAAAGAAGGCCATGACCATAGTACTGGTCTTGGCCCTATCGGATGTGGGAGAGACAAATGCATTGGGGTATGGCTTAGGGGCAGTGCTTTTGCTTAATCACAGGCCCATCGCTTACTTCAGCTGGGTGTTTACAATGCTGAAATTAGTTTATGATAGGGATCTGATGACCATCATGCTAGCTATTCAGAAGTGGCAACCTTACTTGTTGGGCTGACATTTCATTGTCAGGACAGACCATAGGAGCTTGAAATATCTGTTGGAGCAGAGGATGATGACTGAGGAGCATCAGAGATGGTTGTCCAACCTGTTAGGCTTTAACTTTGAGATCCAATATAGACCCGGATTGGAGAATAAGGCTATTAATGCCTTGTCCACATACATGGGGGAGCTCCAAGAGTTAGTTGTGTGGATACCACTGATGTTGGATTGGGAGGCCATTAAAGAGGAGAGTATGCAAGATGAGGAGTTGGGAAGAATTAGGGTTGATCTTTTGAAAGATGAGAACAATTACCCGGGATACTACTTAGAGGGGGAGAAATTATTGTACCCAGGGAGGTTTGTGATGCATGGAGCTCAGTTCACATCCCACAACTGCCGTAAGAGTTTGGCGAAAACGTTGTTTGGGGGCACTTAGGTGTACAGAAGACTGGTAGTAGAGTTGTATTAGATAGGGATCCACAATGATATGTGGAAGAAATGGTGGTTATATGTGAAATTTGTCAGAGGAACAAGTACATGTCCATGGCTCCTGGGGGGTTACTTCAACCCTTAGCTTTACCAGACTGGATGTGGGAGGAGGTCACTATGAACTTTATTGATGGGTTACCATGATCTGAAGGTTTTACAGTGATTTTGATGGTGGTTAACAGGTTGAAGAAGTATACTCATTTCATTCCATTACGACATTCCTACACAATAGTTACAGTAGCAATAACATTCATCAGAGGGGTAGTTAGATTACATGGAATTCCGGAGTCAATAATATCTGACCGTGATAAGGTGTTTCTCAATCAGTTCTAGAATGAACTATTCAAGCTGCAAGGAATAATTATAAAGAGAAGCACCGATTATCACCATCAGATAGACGGGCAGACAGAGATAGTCAACATGGGCCCGAAGACTTACTTGTAGTGTTTTGCTTCAAAGGCACCTTGACTGTGAGTCAAATGGCTAGCATGGGTAGAGTATCGATACAACACTTCATATCAATCAGCCTTTCAGATGACCCCTTTCAAAATGTTGTATGGAAGAAACCTCCACACTTGATGCATTTTGGGCAAAGAAGCACACCAGTCTCTTCAGTAGAGCGGTATTTGGAGGAAAGAGATAAGATGTTAGAGGATTTTAAAAGTCACCTTTTGAGGGCGCAATAGATCATGAAAAAACAGACAGATGCACACAAGATGGACATCCAGTTTGAAGTTGGGGATAATGTGTTTTTAAAACTGCGATCCTACAGACTACAAACAGAGGACAGTGGCCAATATGAGGAACGAGAAATTGGCTCTGAGGTACTTTGGCCCCTACGAGATATTGGAGAAAATTGGATTAGCGGTTTATCGCCTGAGGTTACCCCTGACCGCCACCATACATCCAGTGTTCCATGTGTCACAGTTGAGGAGGGCTCTGAGAGAGCATGCATGCAGAGTTGCCGGTGCCATTGACCGAGGATTTGGAAGTGGTGTTGGAAACATTGGAGCTTAAAGGGGTGAGACGAGGAGAATGTAGGAACAAAGAAGTGTTGATTAAATGGAAGAGCCTACCCGACTATGACGCCACATGGGAACTGTATGAGAGGGTGAAACATCAATTCCCCTCCTTTCACCTTGAGGACAGGTGTGTCTTTGGGAGAGAGAGAGAGAGAGAGAGAGAGAGAGAGAGAGAGAGAGAGAGCGTGTCCGATCGGCTATGTCGGTGGCTTCAACCGGTTGGTTTTGCCGTTACAGTCAACAGGTACATGGACCGGCTGAATCGATCCATCCTGGACTAGTACACATCTACCATGGCAGACAAAAAATTCGCCCAGCAAGGGGGTGGACAATTGGGTGGGGCCCAAGCAGTAAATTAAGCACTGGTTTTGGGAAAACAAAAAAATTCAAAGTTAAGGGCTGTTTAGGAATCACTTAATTGTATTTTGCTCTAAGTAGTTTTTTTTTTTTCTGCCTACGGTTGGGTTTATGTTGAATTTGGTCTGAAATTTGGGGTCTCTTGGAATTTATTTGGGCTCTAGTTATCGGCTAGGGATTGAGAGAGCCGGATCTTCCTCTCGAATCAAATATCCATTGTATCGTGTTGTTTGTTTTATCTACTATTCAATCAAGACTTTTTTCCTTGTTATTTCTCTATAGATTTCTCAAAGTCTGCTTGGAATATTTCTGAATTTCTGAGATCAACATAGTTGTCTCTGGTTTTTATTATTATTACCTATTAGAAACCAGAACTCAGATCATAAAGTCCTCGTAAAATAAGGACAAAATATCTGGGTAGTGTCTTACTTAAAACTTAATCTGCCTTCTAAAAATTTACCTGAAACTTTAATCCGTTAAAGCTCTTCCCGTCACAAAAAGAAGGCGTGGAGAGATTAGGGAGCGAATTTTCGGAGCCCACATAAATATAAGCAACTGGAAAGTAATACCAAAAGTTTTGTTAAATAGATGGCGCTGATTCATCATTTTAGGGAATATGCATCAAGCAGTGGGTACATAATATAAACCCTTCCTTGACACCCTATATTGGCCGGAGCTCATGCATTGCGTTACACAATTTTTAAAAAAGGTTTCCTCGTTTTATGATAAATTCTAAAAACCTGAACTGGTAAAAGAACGCTGGTTTATATAATTTCAGAGGGCTATCAGTAACATCAAAGCAAGGCTTGAAGGGGTTGTAGTTGGTGTGGGTGCAGCGCCATCTCTTCCTTTAGCTGTGGAGGGCCAAGCCAGACGCCTAATTGCGGAAGCCGTCTCACACAAGAACCTGGGAAAGATGTATATATGGTGGATGCCCTGGTTTTAATGGTATGTATGAAATTATTGTCATATGGTGGATTCTCTTATTTTGATTACAGAAATAATCAAGTTTCCTCATTATTTTCTTTCAAGAAATGGCCAAGCTATCAATCTTGTAGCTGCTTGTTCTCTCAGACTTTTGCTGCCATCGTGATGGTGTACTTTTGGGGACATGAAGTAACCAATTCATGGTATGGTTTTGTCTATTTAATAATTGAAATTATGCTCATATTTTGAGGCTTTTATGATGTTTTTTTTTTCTAATAGATTTGTTATATTATGTTGAGCTAGTTGTTCATTTCAGTGAAGTTTAAGGATTCAATTATAGACCAGAAGAAAAAGTAGGTTAGAGTATTCTGATCAAAATTTGATGATGATTTGTTTTAAAAATTTTAAATTTATTTTGAGATAAGTACAATACATGTATATGATCAATCAATTACATTATTATATTTATCTCAAATATATTCAAGTATTGTAAAGCCTATCATAATCAAATTTTATCAAGGTACCTCACCCAATTCTTTTTGCAAATTTCAATATTTTTAATTCAGCATATGGTCCAGTTCATAATTTATTAGTTTGTATTATGAATCTAACCTAAAAATTTTAATGCTTATCACCACCAAATTTTGTTGAATATATCCTCACATATGTATATAATTTTTCAAAATCCATATTTTTAGTGTATTGTCCAGTTCATAATTTTTTTTAACCTGCACTAATCAAGGCCTTTTCTTTTTTATTTACATTATATAGGTTCTTGAGCCCTTGCATTTCTAATGATTGAGTTCTACTTGTGAAACTTGAAGCTAGAAGCTTTTGATGTTCACTCTTCCTCTCTTTTGCATTTTATAATGAAATAATGAGCCAAACATGAAGATGAAGCGCAAGCAAGCTGTGATGAATATAGAAAACCTTACGAGAGATTTCTACGTGGAATGAAGAAAGCAACTAGCACTATTCTGTGGCTGGACTACTCAGGTGAGAACTGTATGCCTGTGAGGCATCCAATCAAAACTAAAGTTTCGTTTGGGCAGCTTTCTTGTTGCTTCTTAAAACAGCTTTTTAGTACAAAAGTTTTAATTTTTATACTAAAAAGTCATTTTGAGAAGCAATAAAAAAGCTGTCCCAAACAATACCTAAATTTCTATAAACCTGTTATGCTCATAGTATTCATTTTCTTATTCTATCTCAGGCTGTTGCTGAGTCGGGCAAATGTTACTCTCCCATGAATTATATCAAGAAAGTTGTGCCCTACTAAAGAAATCAGGTAATTTTCCCACAACTATTTCAACTGTTAAAAATCATTGTTCAAATTCTACAGACTTATTAAATTGAGGGCAGTGAAAATGATATGAAGTAGACAATGCACTAGGGCTGTAGAGAGTATGAACAAAATCTTCTCTTAATTTAAATATTTTGCAAGTAGAAGAGAAGATGAGTCAATGCATCAACTTTTATAGAAAGACTGTAGAACATATTGATTTGTACAGTGGTAAGAAGGGATGTAAACAAGTCGAGTCGAGTTTTGGCCCTTATTGAGCTCGGTTCGTTAGTTGGAAAGCTCGGCTCGAAGTCAAGCTCTTCTCACTGTAAACGAGCTCGAGCCGGCTCGCGAGCCTTGGGCGGGAATTTTTAAATTTAAGCGGGATTTTTAAAGCATAGTCAAAATTTAGAAAAAAAAAAGGAATGTGCAGTTGAATGCATCCAAATTACATCAGAAAACCATTAGCCAAATTTTTTTCCCCATAAGATCAAAATAATTGGGGAAGCTTAATTATTTCAGTAATCAAAATAAGAGAATCCACCATATAACAATAATTTCATACATGCCATCAAAACCAGGGCATTCACCATATATACATCAAATATTGATAATAATTTGATCATGATGGACTATAAAATATTTGGATATATTTGAGATAAATGTAATAACAGAATTGATTGATTATATACAAGTAGGCGTCTCACCTGCATCTGCATGAGCCTCTGTCTCGCCTAGGGGTATCAATTTCGAGTCATGGGTGGGGTTCGAATCAGACCCGAAACTCTCGCCTGCCTGAGTCGTTCTCACTTGTTTGGGCCGCTGTCTCACCTTCGGCCCATTGATATATATCTGAATTTAGTGCTTAATTTTTTATAGTAATATAAATTTTAACTTTTTTTTTTTTTTTTAGAAATATGTTTGTGAAAATTGGCTGCTAATTTTTTTATTATGGAATGACTTTATCGATGGGAAATTCTTGGCTAAGGGAAGCCTTTACGGCTTTACCTTTATTGTTTTGAAAATGAAAATCACATTTCAACAGGAAAGATGACGAAGCTTTCGACAAATCATGACGGAGCTGCTCAGATAACAATAGTCGAATATCAGTTCGGCCAAATTACAATAATATAACCCTAAAACACAATAAAATTCAAGTTTTATATATTCATTTTATATTTTTCATTCAAATTACAATAATATTGTGACAGTAGAATTTCGTAAATCGTGGTCTTGAATTATTTAGGCCTCGTTTGATTGGACTTAAATTCTCCATTTTCCGTTTAAAACACTGAAAATAATTAGTGTAAAATGTTTGGAATCAAAACATAACAATAATTTCTTTTCAAAAAACTTCGTTTTCAGGGTGGTTGCAAGACCCTGATGCGGCGTTTTATAGTTAAAAGTATTTTGTTATTATTTCTTCCATTAATCAAATTTAAATTTTTTAGAAATTCATATATATATTTATGTAAACTTTGTAATACCTAAATTTTATATATGAATAATTTATTTTTTTTATAATAAAATCATTAAAGCTGGACTCTTAAACAAACAATTAAAATCTGCTTTCAGGTATTAATAAGCACTTAAAGAAATATTACTCAAACAACATAAAACTCAATTTTATTAAACTTTTTTTTTTTCTTAACATCCTTTTCAAAAACTCCTTTTTAAGTAAAAAATGAATCAAATGAAGCCTTAGGCAAAAGCATTAAAAGAGTATCTAAGTTAAAAGCAGATAATTGAAGTCATTTATGGTGTTACTACTAAGTACAGAATAAGTGCCCTCCAATTGAGAAAATTTCTGTCAGAACTTCTTTGCCGAAATTCCATTAAAATGATCTTCATCACTATCAATTTTATTTTACTACAAAATAAAATTATTATCAAATTAATACTTTGAAGCTTCTAAATATGATTCAATATTTTCATTTGGGCACATTTGGGCTTGGGTTGAACCGAATTTGCTATCATTAGGTATGTCCCATCAAGACGTTTAGTTTGACTATAAATTTGTTGAAATCAGAATTCGATTGGTCTGATATTTAATTTCAAAAATTTTAATCTCAAATATGATTCAAGATTTGTGCTTGACCACGATGATTTTTGTATATATATATATATATATATTTACATATATGAATAATTAATTTAAACTGCATATAAATTAAATATTAAATATTAATTATAGATAACATAATCAAAGATTATACTTGCATATAAATTAAATACTTAGCCGCTGAAAGGAAGCCGTCAATGTTCGAACAAATACGATCATATACTTGCAATCTCACATGCACCATGGTCCATGATTTTGTCTCTGCCTAAGATTTTTTGTGGTCTTAGCACATATGAGTTCTTGACAACTATTAAAGTTGAATTTCATGGGCGCCTAAGTTTATGCAAGCGCTGACTTTTCTGCAGCATGACTCTCATTCTCGGCCTAGTGTTAGTCACCGACGAATTAGGGCAACATCCCACATTCGCGAGGGAATTGAAGATAATGTCAGTGAATACGAAATCGGAAATCATGGATAGTGGTAGCAATGATACGTCAAGTGGTAGTCCAGTAGGAAACATTCATGTTCCGTTGTTCAAAGAGTACAATATGGAGATACTAGGTAACGAGTTCATTCAAGATCATTCTAGACAGAATTGTGATGGACTGGAGGCGATGTTCATTAGCAATGAGTTTGTCAAAGATGTCCGTATAATTGGGATGGTATTGAATAGTAGGATAGAGAATAATAAAAAGATATGACACAATAAATAAAAGATACCAAGTTCTTCTAACTTTGACTTTTATAAAAAAAAATAAATAAAGTCTTAGACTTTCATTTATAATGTAATTTCAAAAGTTGAAGTGATTAATAAAGTACTTAACTTATCAAAGATGGAGAATAATAAAAAGGTCTTGGACAATATCGCTACATAGAATAATAAACTACATTAACACAATATGTATTAACTTTAGTAAGCATGGTGAGCATATCACAAAATAACCAAAAATACATACTACTACATAGTTTTGCTATTTCTTAATTAGCATATGTACATGTGCCTGTAGTTGGCTTTGAATTGGTCAGCACTTGAAGTTAAACTCAAACTCATACTGAAAATATCCTCGCCATTGAAAAATTTATTGGCTTGTCATCAGGTAACAACTCATTCATCTTATTCATGTAGAACTCCAAAATTAAATTGTACATATCACCATCCAATGAGTATTTAAAATTACATGATAAAAAAATAAAAATACATGATTAAGGCCTAGGTTAATGTAAATATCATCATCCGAATCGCTAGCTTTTTTCTCACATTGTATCTCATGATATTGCACCATGAAAACTTACATAATGACAAGTAGGCTCCCAGAATCTCATATATGAATACTTCCACCCGACAACATTTAGAAAATGTCTAGTCTTATATGATTAAAGCCTCATTATTTCAACATGGATGACCATTCATGAATGCAACACATAATGATCTCATTTGCATTCGCTCTTTGCTCCAACGGGCTATCAACAAAATATGTCATTTAAGCATGCATTCATCTACTTGCATCATCAAATCTTACTTTATTGAGGATGCCTAGATTGCGCTCCATATAAGACCAATTCATTTTGAAGGCAGCAACTAAAAAAATTAAAGCTCAATCTCATATGTACATCCACCCCTTAAATGAGAAAGGTTGAATATATCACACCTTCACATGTATCTTGAAATTAGAAATTTGGCTGATTGTACATTACATCTTTACAACTCATATGATATAATAGGTTAGCATAATATTAATGAACTAAGAGACAAAATGAAAAGGATCATATGCTCTTAATGAGATTTTTTTGCAGAGAAATCCAAAGTTCTCAACAAATATAGCTTTCAATAAATAGTTAGACTTAATTAGCATATCATATTTAGTTATTTACTCTTACCTAATTCATTAAATGATACAAAATATAAATGTTAAACAATAAGCTCCTTCAAATAAGTCCATCAAAATATTAAAAATTATATTATCCTAAAAAGACGTATCTCTATTTTTAAGATTTATTACTTTTACAGTTTAATTCTACTTTAAATTTAAGGGATAGTAATTGTGCATGAAACAAAGTTGAAACTCTTTACAATTTTCAAATCAAAATTTTTTTATAAAAA